GGTCTGCGGTTGAAATGCCACGAAATAACCTATGAAAGGCCCCTGTCATGATGCCACTTCCCATGAGTCTGCTTCCCGCGGGATGAGAACTATCTCCATGGATGAATTTCTGTCTCCCAGAGGACTGGGTCAGGCAATGGGTACCAGAAAGCAGTGGGAGGCACCCTTCTCCAACCTGAGGGGTCCAGTGAGAGGGCTGGGTTGATAGGTGTGCCCGTCAGGATGAGGGGGCTGCCTCCACACCCCTGCATCCTAGCCCTGGCCCTCAGCTCCCTGCCCCTCTTCATCCCAGACCGTTTTCAGGCCACAGGCTGCCCGGTTCCGATAGAGCGTGGCCAGGAGGGCCTTATCCTTGGTCAGCTTCAGGGCTTGGCTATAGCTCTTTGCTGCGGCCTTGTAGTCCTGGCGCTGGAAATGCCGGTTGCCCTCCTCCTTCAGCTGCACTGCTTCTGCCTCGGCCATCTGCGGGGACAGGATGAGCTCCGTCTGGCCGGCCCCTCCCTCCAGACCCGGGGCTGGGCTCCTGGCCTGAGGTCTGGAGCACCAGGTGCCCCATCGACCAGGATGGGAGGTGAGGATGCTGCCTGCAACAGACCCACCCGGAGCACCCGCGAATCCTTTGCCCAGAAGGACATCACAGCATTTGCTCGGAGTGTGGCCCGAGATGAGAGGGGTCTCAGAGACCCTGTTCCTAGGGAACTCTGCTCAATATTATGTAACAACCTAAATGGGAAAAGAATCTGAAAAAGAATAGATACATGTATATGCAGAACTGAATCACTTTGCTGTACACCTGAAGCTAAGGCAACATCGTTAACCAACTCTACTCCAATATAAAATTAAAAAAAAAAAATCCCTGTTCCCCCCTCTCTCTCCCTCCCAGCTAGACACACCAAGGGCCTGAATTCTCACTGCAGGCCTTAAAATTTCTGGGTCCCCCTTCTCCCTCCCCAGTCCAACGAACCCTCCAGGCCAGCTCACTTTCTCACAAGGACAGTGTTCTCGGTCTGTCCTCCCCGGGGTGCTGCTCCGGTGCGTGTGAACCCCCAGCCAGCGTCAGTCTGCTCCTCCTAGCCCCCACCCAGGAGACTTTATCAGCCCTGCTAGTGGCTCCAGACCATATTTGGCCACAGGGGCAGGTGCCCCTGGAGTCTGTCACTGATACTCAGGGCCCTCCCCCTCCCCAGACTGGACAGTCATTACCACGTGGAGGTTCTGACTAACCTCTGCCCCAGCACCGCACTCAGGGGCAGTCCTGGGGGCACAGGCACTCATACCCCAAAGAGTGAGAGAAAGATCTAGAGGGACGGGAACCCCCCCAGCACACCCTCCCTCCCTTGGCATGGCTCTAATGCCGCTTATCCACCTCCATCTCAGATAAACAACCTCCTCTCCCCTCCCCCCCCACCACTGCTATTTTGGGAGCAGAGTGACAGCTGAGGGGCTGGCAGACTTGGACACACAGAGCAGCTGCCCAGGTCCCAGACCAACTGGAGACATCCAGAAATGCCCTTCTGGAGGGAGGAGGGAAGAAGAAGGAGGAATGTTCCTTCCCCTCTTCCCCTTGGCCACAACTCCCCTACCCCTTCCATCTGTTGAAAATGTCCTTGCTTTACAGAAAGACCCATGGACTTGCTATCTCACTTTGGTGGAAGTGGGTTGTTTCTTTGTTCCACTCTGCACATCTTCTGTGGTTCCTCCCCGTCTGTATGGAGTGGCTATATTCAGCCTCTCTCTCCCATCAGACTGGGAGCTCCCAGAGGACGGGCTCTGTTCATCCCCCACCAGACTGAAATCTTCTCCCACAGCAAGAGCTGGGGCAACCTGGGAATTCCCTGAAACCAAGAACTGTGCCCCCTAACTGACTGGGACTTGCGGAGTCCCCCTCAGCAGAAGGGGGTCTTCCTGGGACAAAAACTATGTATTCACTAAAAACTGTGAATCAGGGACTTCCCTGGCAGTCCAGTGGTTAAGACTCCATGCTCCCACCTCAGGGGGCATGGGTTTGATCCTTGTTCGGGGAACTAAGGTCCTGCATGTTGCTCCACGCGGCCAAAAAACAAAAACAAAAACAAAAACCCAAAACTGTGAATCACTATGTTGTGCACCTGAAACTTATGTAATATTGTAAATCAACTATACCTCAATGTTAACATTTTAATTAAATTAAAAATTTTTAATTAAAAAAAGAACAACAATGTATTCATCACCAGAAAGGGTCTCCCCTGGGGCAGGAATTGTTTCTCCTCATCCAACTGAGGGTTCCTAAGAGAAATTTATGAGGTTGTCCCTACTTGGATTTAGAATTCTCCCGCATTTCTGTGTCTCTGAGCCTGGGCTGTGGGCACCCTCCCAGAGGGCAAGGATAGCATCTCATGCAGTTTGTTTTCCCCTGGCACAGAGCCTGGAAGAATGAGTGCCCAATGCATGTTCCTAAATGGATGAATGAATGAAGTCTTTGTGCTGATGCTTTGCTTCACTTCCTACCATTCTGTCAGCTTCTCCCCTATACTTTCAAACTGAGAAAGATACTGCAGGAAAAAAAGCATAGGTGGGATCACTCACACTAGATTCTGCTCTTAGCTCTGTGACCTTGAAAACACAGCTCTGTTACTTTGGACAAGTTCTACTGCTCTGCTGGACACAAGATCCAGCCCTGATATATGTTTGTTGACTGAATAAACGAATGAATGGATGGGTGAATTCCCTGCCCTCATGGTGTCCCCAACCCCGGGTCCCTTTGTGGGCGGCTCTCTGTAGCAGTGACATAATATGGTAAAGGATCCTACCATTGGCAGAGAGAGATCCAAGGGACCCTAGATTCAAATCCTGATTCAGTAATTCATTCCACAAGTTGTTTTTTTTTTTTTTTTTGCGGTACGCGGGCCTCTCACCGCTGTGGCCTCTCCCGTTGCAGAGCACAGGCTCCGGACGCGCAAGCTCAGCAGCCATGGCTCACGGGCCCAGCCGCTCCGTGGTATGTGGGATCCTCCCAGACTGGGGCACGAACCCGTGTTCCCTGCATCGGCAGGCAGAGTCTCAACCACTGTGCCACCAGGGAAGCACCCCACAAGCATTTCTTAAGCATTTGCTATGTGCCAGAAACTGTGAACGATTATGGAAGCAGAGAACATTCATGGGGGTAAGGATTTGTGTCTATTTTGTTCACTTACATATCCCAAGGGTCTGCAACAGTGCGTGATATGTAGTGGGTGCTCAATAATATTTGTTGAATGAATGGATGAAAGACTTCCATGGATCTGTGATTTCTGAAGAATACCAAGGTGTTTTGAAATCAGGAAACATGACATTGTTTCAGAGGTTTCCCTGAGTAAATGATTGAATGAGTTACTGTACATAGAGCTCCTAGAACAGTGTCTGACAGAGACCTTTGTTAAATGATTGAATGGATATTTAAAGCAAGACCTGAAGAATGAGGAACTGTTCCTGTATGTATTCATCAGCTCAGGCTGCCATAGCAAAATACCACAACTGGGTGGCTTAAACAACAAAACATTTTTATTCTCACAATGCTGGAGGCTAGAAACCTCAAGGTGCCATCATTAGCGTTGGTTTCTGGTGCAACTTCACTTCCTGGCTTGTAGACAGCCACCTTCTGCGGTGTATTCACACAGCCTGCTCTCTGTGTGAGAGCAAAGAGAGGTGTGGGGCAGTGGGGGGAGAGCACGCAAGAGCTGTTGTTTCTCCTCTTCTTCTTATAAGGACACCAGTCCTATCAAATTTGGATGCCATCTTTATGACCTCACGTAACCTTTATTACATCCTCATAGAGTCTATCTCCAAATACAGTCACACTGGGGGTTAGGGCTTCAACATATGTATTGGGGGGGGTGTGTGCACAGGTCTGTACCAGTTCCAGAAAACAGCATGGGCAAAAGCACTTGGAAGAACTAAGAAATAGCCAGAAAGATTTGATCTTAAAGTGAGAGGAGTGGCTGGAGAGGTAAGGCTGAGTGCACCATTATAAGGAGTCTGATTTTTTCCTGCCTGTAATGGGAGCCATTGTAGGGTTTTAGGACAGAAAGTAACAGACCAGAGTTTTGGTTTGAAACGTCACTCTGGTTGCTGTGTGGAGAACGCACAGGAGGAGGCAGGGTAGAGACAGGGAGGAAAGTGAAGAGGCTATTGTAGGGACCACGGTTGACTCAGAGCAGAGTGTGGCAGTGGAGATGGAGAGAACAGATTCTAGATAGGTTCATGAGGCAGCATTGGCAGAGCTTGAGACTCCCTGGATGCAGGGGGGAGAGAGAGCGAGAAAGAGAGAGAGAGAGAGAGAGAGGAGCTGACAGGAAGATCCCAGGTTTCCGGTAAGAGTGCTCCTGGTCTGACTCTGCTTTAGTTCCTCATCTGTAACATTGGGTGAAAAGAGTTGTGAGAATTAAATGAGTTACATATGTAAAGCACTTAGAACAATACCTGATTCTTTACTATTGTTATCATTATCGTTATTGCTCTACACTGTTGAAAACTGTAGGAATTTTTTGCTTCTGTACGCATCAAGTTGTTTTTTTTGTTTGTTTTTTTGCGGTACGCGGGCCTCATCACTCTTGTGGTCTACTCCCGTTTCGGACTACAGGAGGACGCACAGGCTCAGCGGCTACGGCTCACGAGCCCAGCCGCTCCGCGGCATGTTGGATCTTCCCGGACCAGGGCACGAACCCGTGTTCTCTGTATTGGCGGGTGGACTCTCAACCACTGCGCCACCAGGGAAGCCTCGCGTCGAGTATGATTAATTTCTGTGATCCATTTATTTGAGGCCAGGCGCGGAGCGACACTTCCCCTCCTCAACACCAGAGGGCGATGTGGCGGATTGCAGCACCGCTGGACCACGGGGGCGGCGCTCCGTCCCGCCGGAGTTTTCCCTTCCACGTGGGGACACAGGATGGCGGCGGTGGTGGCGGTGGGTGGGCCTGACTGGGGGCGGGGGCGCCGCGGCTGGGCGCTCGGGCCGGGGTCCCCGAGGCCGGAGGGAGGCGGAAGTTAGGGCCCTTCGGTCCGGGCGGCGTGCATGACGCCCGCCGCGCTTGTCCACACAGGACGAGGCGGCGACGCGCGACGTGCAGCGACTGCTAGTGCAGTTCCAGGATGAGGGCGGGCAGCTGCTGGGCTCCCCATTCGACGTGCCCGTGGACATCACCCCGGACAAGCTGCAGCTCGTGTGCAACGCGCTGCTGGCCCAGGTGAGCGGCGGGCCCGGCGGAGGGCGGGCGGCGCTGCCCTGGTCGGGGACGCAGGGAATCAGGAGACCGAAGGTCTCGGGTACATCCCCACTACTCTCCCACAGGGGTGATAACAACCTGGCGGTGCCGTCTGCCTTGGGAAGGGTCGGAAGATGTGATCAGTGTGAGAGCGCTTTACGCGCCCACCATCGGGAATTCACCCGCGGAGAGAGACCGCGTTTTGAACGCATTGGGTGCATCGTAACAGTGATTCCTTGTCACAGCTCCTCATTATATTCCGATTGTCATTAATATCCCCATTTTACAGTGCTGCCTGAGACCATTCAGTTATTTGTCTGGCACTGCGCAGTAGGTGGTAGATTGGGAGTTGGAAGCCAAGTGTCAGATTCAAAACTCATGCTCTCCTAAGCCGGTGTTTATCAGAATGCTGCCCTCTGTTGAGGGGTGGGAGGCTGTTTAAAAATGCAATACCTGGACCCCACCCAAGACTTACTACACCAGACCCTGGGGTGAAGCAGAGGGTCTACCTTTTTCAGTCAGCTTTTTGGATGCTTCTTACACATTATGCAGCATGGTCTGGTGGTTTAGAAAACGCTGCATAATGCTATATACTAACCCTAATCCTGGACTTTAGTTTTCTTTCTGAAGAACCTGAATTAGGCATTAGCAATAGGACGTTGCGTTAATCACTTAGTTGCTCTGAGCCTCAGTTTTTTTCATCTATCAATATTAATGCCTCCTTCCCAGGGTGGTTGTGAGATTCAGATACAGGATTTTGAAGTGGTGTGTGTCTTGCAGTCGCTCTTCAAGGATTAAAAAGGCCTTGCTGAATGGGGAATGAGGCGGGTAACCCAAGCAGGGTGGCTTGAAAAGTAGGAAGCGTTGCCTGCCCACAGCTCACAGAGGGTGGGGGTCCCTGGTGGAGATGGCCTTGCCCATCCTTTGATGGGGGTGGTTCTCTTTTCTGTTGTCCTCCAGGAGGATCCCCTGCCACTGGCTTTCTATGTCCATGATGCCGAGATCATCTCGTCTCTGGGGAGGACACTGGAGTCACAGGCGGTGGAGACAGAGAAGGTCCTTGACATCGTCTACCAGCCACAGGCTATCTTCAGGGTTCGTGCTGTGACCCGCTGCACCAGCTCCTTGGAGGGTCACAGCGAGGCAGTCATTTCTGTGGCCTTCAGCCCTACAGGAAAGTAAGGACAGCTGCAGAGTCATGGAGGAGAGTGTGGGTGCAGCTGCTGGCGGGGGTGGGGGGACCCCCAAGTTATGCTCAATGGGGCCTCCGGCTGCCCACCATAGACCCAAGCTTTGGGCTCAGGTTGCAAGTAAGGGACTTCCCCGGTGGAGTTTGGTCCCCAAAGGTCAAGGATACCTGCCTTGGAAGAGCCCTTCCTGGACTTGACCTCAGGAGATCTGAGCTGCAAGCTCACCTCTGTCCCTTCCTAGCCATGTGACCTGGTCAAGTCATTTAACCTCTCTCTGAGTTAGTTGTTCACCTGAGAAATAGGTTTATTTGCTTCTCACAATCCTATGAGGATAGTAAGAAGCTTTAAATCTGGTTATGACTGTTGCCATTCCATTTAGGAAGGACAAGGAGAGAAATGGCTTCCTGGGGTCTTCTCCCAGATGGCATCGGTGTTATATTTCTCCTTCTCATAAGAGAAAATTCCAGTCCCAGATTCTGTTCCCAGAAGATGATTGACTAGGCAGCAGGAATGTACATGTGCAGTGTTTCCGGTGTGCCCCACCCCTTGTCCTCACTGCAGAGGTCAGGTGGCCTCTCTTCTTCCCCAGGTACCTGGCCAGTGGCTCTGGAGACACTACTGTGCGCTTCTGGGATCTCAGCACTGAGACACCACATTTCACATGCCAGGGTCAGTACCCAGTTACCCACTTAGGGGTTTTAACGTAGTGGCGGGTGGCTGATTCACTCAGCTCTTTAGTTCCTGAGGAGGAGAGGAGGCCCAGAGCACATTCCAGCCCCTTGACATCCAGTTAGTGGCTGCCTGTTCCTAGGTAGAGACCTTACCCTTGAGCCCTGCCAGCCACTTACAAACAAGCAGAGACTGGACGGAAGAGTCAGCCTGGGGTTGTGGGCAGGGGCTAACTGCCTGGTAGCAAGCAGAACCAGGCTTAAATCCAGTCTCTGCCATAGTGGTTCTCAAACTTGAACGTGCATCAGAATCACCTGGAGGGCTTGTTAAAATATAGATTTCTGGGTCCCACCCCCAGAATTTTGTCTCCTTAGGTCTGGGGTGTGACCTGAAATTTGCGTTTCAAGTTCCCAGGCATTGCTGATGCTGCTGGCCTGGGGACCTCACACTAGCTGGGTGATCTTGTAGGTAGGCCTTGCTTCCTTTCTAAGCTTTAGGTTTCTCATCTGGAGAATGGGGTGATACTTCTTGCTTTGCCCCATACTCTAGAGCTGTCATGAGAATTGTAGGACTGATGTGTGTGAAAGAACTTTATATCACGTAGCACATAAGGAACTACTAGAAAGTGGCAGTGTTATCTGTGCGGCGATGCACGGCCCTAGCACTTGGGAAGGATTCTCCCTTTGCCTAGGAAGCCTCATCTCTTCTGTTCGATCGTTCAATTATTCAGCAGCTAGCTAAGGAGTTTCTGCAGGGTGCCAGGCATTGCTAGGCAATGGGGATAAAGAAAGGTGTGGTCCTCCTTTCTCCCCCACTGCTTTCTTAGGACACAGACACTGGGTCCTTTGCATATCCTGGTCCCCAGACGGCAAGAAGCTGGCTTCAGGCTGCAAGAATGGCCAGGTAGATGGTCAGGGTAATTAGGCAAGGATTCTGGGGCTTCCTTCCTGCGAGATGGGTCCGAATCAGGTTCTGGGTTCTTCGGGGAGGGGTGAGCGGGGGCGATGGGCGGGGGACCCTTGGTGGGACCAGGGGAAGGGTGGGGAGGGTTATTTTCGATGAGCTGCTGTCCTTCAGATTCTCCTGTGGGACCCAAGCACAGGGAAGCAAGTGGGCAGGACCCTTGCCGGCCACAGCAAGTGGATCACAGCCCTGAGCTGGGAGCCCCTCCATGCGTGAGTGACACTGACAGCTGGGTGATTGAGGAGCCAGGGCTTCAAAGCCGTAGCCCTCCCCTGCTTGGTGCAGAGGAGTCTTATGTGAGAGGACAGGGTAGGCAGTCTGACTGGCAGTGACAGCGTGGCAGGCAGTGGGGAAGGTCTTCTGCACCTGTGTTGCGCGGGCGGGGCGGGGGGAGGGCGGTGGTGCTCATCACGGGGCCTGAGAGCTACCTTGCAGCGCAGCCAGATCTTGGGGTCAGGAAGCTGTCGAGACATTATCCCTGGTCTTCGCGCTGGGGATCGGGAGGCAGTGTTGGAAGACAGGCGTTGCCAGGTCAGAAGTGAGGGCATGTCCCCCTTTTCTTTCCAGCAACCCCGAGTGCCGCTACGTGGCCAGCAGCTCCAAGGACGGCAGCGTGCGGGTCTGGGACACGGCTGCGGGCCGCTGTGAGCGCATCCTCACTGGGCACACACAGTCAGTCACCTGTCTCCGGTGGGGAGGGGACGGGCTTCTCTACTCCGCCTCCCAGGACCGCACCATCAAAGTCTGGAGGGCTCATGATGTAAGAGCTGGGAGAGGCCCAAAACCAGCCTGGGGAAATCTTGGGCCAGGGAGGTTGACCACTGTTTCCTGGGTGGTTGGGGAAGTGCTTCGGGAATGGGGGTCCTATGGTTTGGTGCTGCATTATAGCGGAGGTTCCAGGACCCCTTAGCATGGCCAGGCTCTGGAAATTTCCTGCTGTAGGAAGCCTATTTAGGTTTATCGAACCTGCCGTATCCCAAACTTATTTGACTAGAGCCCTTTTTTGTGACATTTCCCTTCTGTGAAACATATTTCCAGAAACAGTGCTCTGGGCTGGTACCCTTATTTTACAAATGAGGAGAGACTTGAACCCAGAGGGGTGATTTGATTCAGATCACAGTGAATGAGGGCCCTGCTTCTGAGTCCCACAGTGCCCATCTTTTGGGGCTGATCTGGGGGTGCATGTTCCCAGGGGTGGAGACTGCTCTGTGTGTGTCTGACCTGTCTCCCTTCACCCTAGGGCGTGCTGTGCCGGACTCTGCAAGGCCATGGCCACTGGGTGAACACCATGGCCCTCAGCACTGACTACGCCCTGCGCACGGGGGCCTTTGACCCAGCCGAGGCCTCAGTTAACGCCCAAGACCTCCGAGGGTCCTGTGAGTGAGTGGGAGGTGGGGGGGAAGGAGCCAGTTCTCAAGCTTAACATGCGAGAGGCGGACCTAGGCTGGGGGGGCGGGTACTTGCACTTTGTGTTGGATTTTCTCATCAGCCTTGTTCCTTCTCTCCTTCGATACCTGGACACAGTGCAGGAGTTAAAGGAGAGAGCTCTGAGCCACTACAGCCTCGTGCGGGTGAGTATCTGCCAGCGCCGCCAGCTCTATGTGCTTCTTCTCCTCGTCCCCAAAACACTGCAGACACTCAGGCCCTTCTCCCTTCTAGCCCCAGCTCAGAACGTACCTTTTCCGGAAAGTTGTTCTGATAATCCTAGTTTACAATCCTAAAAACCATAATGTGCTGGGGATCATTTTATTTCATTTTGTTTTGTTTGCTTATCTGTTTATTTGCAATCCTCAGGTACCTCTCTTTTTTATTTTATTTAGCTTCAGTAACACATTCACATGGTCTAAGGTTCAAGGAAAACAAAAAGGAGAATTCCCTGGTGGTCCAGTGGTTAGGACTCGGCGCTCTCACTGCCAAGGGCCCGGGGTTCGATCCCTGGTCGGGAACTAGGATCCTGCATGCTGCACGGCATGGCCAAAAGAATAAAAGAAATTTTTTTAAATGCAGAGAACACAGAGCAGTAGGGGCCATTTTAGATGGTGGAAAGTCTCTCATCTCTGTTGCACCTTCATCCGTGCCTTCTGGAAGCATCCAGTGCTACCAGTGTCTCGTGTCTCCTGCCAGAGACGTCATGTATACACATATACATATATGTGTACACTACACACAGTACAGATACACACGCGTATACAAGCCCACATGTAAAATCCTTCCCTTTTTTTTTTTTTTTTCCGTGGTACGCGGGCCTGTCACTGTTGTGGCCTCTCCCGTTGCGCAGCACAGGCTCCGGACACGCAGGCTCAGCGGCCATGGCTCACGGGCCCAGCCGCTCCGCAGCATGTGGGATCTTCCCGGATCGGGGCACGAACCCGTGTTCCCTGCATCGGCAGGCGGACTCTCAACCACTGCGCCACCAGGGAAGCCCTCCTTCCCCTTTTTAACACACCACTCTGTACCTTGCTTCTTCTTGTAATTATACGTCATAGAAATGGTCCCGTCCCATGTTCATGAAGCCTCCCTTTGCGGGGAGTAACCAGCCTCCTTTCTCCAGTCCTGGACTCCATGCTGGTATTGAGCAGTCAGTGGTGTGTTCGCTGCCGAGGTCAGGCTGTCCTCTCTGAGACCATGTGCGCTTTGTGCCTCCCCAGGGCCGGGGCCCAGAGAGGCTGGTGTCTGGCTCAGATGACTTCACCCTGTTCCTGTGGTCCCCGGCGGAGAACAAGAAGCCCCTGGCACGGATGACGGGGCACCAGGCCCTCATCAACCAGGTGCTCTTCTCCGCGGACTCGCGCGTCATCGCCAGCGCCTCCTTTGACAAGTCTATCAAGCTGTGGGATGGCAGGACGGGCAAGTGAGTGGCGGGCGTGGGGAGGGGAGGAGCGACGCTCTTCCTCCGGAAGGAGCTTGGCTCTGACACTTCCTAGCTGTGTGGCCCTGGCAAGTGTTTGGGTTTTCTGAGCCTCTTGTTTCCTCTTCTGAATGTGCAGACCCCCTACCTCTCTGCTTTGTTACAAGGATTAAATGAGGTGGTCTCTTTAGCACCATCACTAAGTGGGTGCTGAAAATGCTAGTTTCTTTCATATCTAGGGAGAGGAAATGATGTTAAAGCTGGCCAAGGGAACTGCCTGGCGGTCCAGTGGTTAGGATTCTGTGCTGTCACTGCCAGGGATGCGATCCCTGGTCGGGGAGCTAAGATCTGGAAGCCGCACAGCATGGCCAAAAAAAAAAAAAGCTGGCCAAGGGCCGGGGATGCAGCACAAGTGTAGGTTTGTGGTCCGGTCTTTATCTGGCCCTCCTCAAAGTGAGTCAGTGCATCACCTGGGAGCTTGATGGAAATGCAGAACCTTGGGCCCCATCCCAGATCTTGGGGATCAGATGACCTGCATTTTAAGGTCACCTTTCAAGTCTGAGAAGCACTGCTATGACGAGGCACAGTGCCCTTGCAGTTAGTTAGGAGGAGAGGCAGAGGCATGGGCGAGAAAAGGAGCAAGGAAACCCTTGTTGAGGCCAAAGGGGCACCTATGTGTCAGTCTCCGTGTATTTTCACAACACAGCCCTGTGAAATAGATCGTTCAGTTTCTTTTTCTTTCTTTTTTTTTTTTTTTGGCTGCGTTGGGTCTTCGTTGCTGCACGTGGGCTTTCTCTAGTTGTGGCGAGTGGGGGCTGCTCTTGGTTGCGGTGCGCGGGCTTCTCGTTGCAGTGGCTTCTCGTGTTATGGAGCATGGGTTCTAGGCGTGCGGGCTTCAGTAGTTGTGGCTCACGGGCTCAGTAGTTGTGGCTCGCAGGCTGTAGAGCACAGTCTCAGTAGTTGTGGCGCACGAGCTTAGTTGCTCCGCAGCATGTGGGATCTTCGCGGACCAGGGCTCAAACCTGTGTCCCCTGCATTGGCAGGTGGATTCTTAACCACTGCGCCGCCAGGGAAGCCCTGGTTTCTTTTTAAGATAAGGAAACCGAGTCTCAGAGAGGCCCAACGACTTGCACCAGCAGACACAGCCAGTCTGTCCCGACCAGGTGCCAGGTGGGCCTGCCCACTGTTTCTCCATGCCACCTGTCAGCAGGCACCTGTCATGGTGGTTGGGGGAGGGTGGTGTCGTGCAGATGGGCTAAGCAGACGGCTGCATTGGATTCTGAGGCTTGCAAAGTTGAGCAGGTATGGAGGCCTGGCAAGAAGCATTCTAGAAGCAACTCATTTGGAGAAGTTTTACAGCATCGTAATGACTGGTAAAGATTAAATTGGTCTGGGGTGGGGACCAGACAGTGAGATTTTGTAAAAGTTCCCAGGTAAACCTGACACACAGCCAAGGTTGAGAACCACCACTGTGGGCATAGAGGACCCTTCAGGCGTGTTTGAAGATCTCATATCCATCCTTATCTTCCTTCCCCTGGCCCAGGTACCTGGCCTCCCTGCGTGGCCATGTGGCTGCCGTGTACCAGATTGCATGGTCGGCCGACAGCCGGCTCTTGGTCAGTGGCAGCAGTGACAGCACACTGAAGGTGTGGGATGTGAAGGCCCAGAAGCTGGCCACAGACCTGCCAGGCCATGCGGATGAGGTGCGGCCAACCCTCGTGGGCAAGTGGTTGAGAGGGAATTGAAGCCTGGCCCTCCTCCCCACCCTCCTCACTGTGCCACCATCCCCCTCCCCCTCCTCCCTTCAGGTATACGCTGTCGACTGGAGTCCAGATGGCCAGAGAGTGGCAAGTGGTGGAAAGGACAAATGCCTCCGGATGTGAGTTTGGGGGAGGTGGCGGCTCTCCTGCCCTTTGTGACCGTCCGCTGTGGTGTAGAGTTCCAAGGGCTCTCCAGGTGCCCACACTGTCCCGAGACAGTAGCCTCCAGCGTGAGGCGGTAGTTCTTAGCACACTGGATTTTGGAGTCCTGTGACCTAGGTCAAATCCTTGTTCTGCCTTTCAGTGTGCAGTCGTGGAGAGCTTCGTCCACCTGTCTCCTGGGACTTACCAGGAGACAGGAGGATCAAAGATAGGTGAATACACTTTGGATCCTGAGGGTTGTGTACTTGTAAAGGATTGCCACTGTTTGTCATTGGACAGCCTTGGTGGGCATCGCAGGGGCCAGGCCCCTGGATGAGGTCCTGGCCGAGGCAGTGGTGGGCGCCTGGCCTAAGTTCGGGTGGCCGGAGCAGGGACAGTAGCCGGGGCAGGGGGAGTAGACCGAGGGGGGACCACAAGCTCTCCCCCTAGTGGGCTTCTGGGATTGTATGGCGCCTCCCTTTCCCGAGGTGGCATCCCCATCCTGTTCCGTCCCTCTCTCCACAGATGGAGGAGATGAGAAATCCCAAGGATCCCCACCTGGACTCAGCCTCTGCCAGCTGCCTGCCCTGATGGAGATCAAAGGCCGGGGTGATGACCTTGAGAATGAGCGTGGCCTGCCGTCCTCGGACAGACCCCAGTAGCGTCCCTCCCCAGAGCAGGAGGTCGAAGGTCGCGGGAGGTTCTCACTGAGCTCAGCCCTTGGCCATCACTTGGTAGCTCGCTGATGCCAGCACAGGGGAGGCCGAGCGATGACTGGCCCTTACTGCTGCCCCTGCCTCCTTTCCTAAATGCCGTCTATTTAGGGTCAGACCCCAGATTCTGTGACCAAATAAATAACTTACAGTTTGTGTGTTTGGGTTATGATTTCTTGTCCCAGGTTCTCAGGGCTTTACTGAGGACTATGCTAAGTCAGCTTGTCTAGCCCCTCCCTCTGGGCTGCACCAAAACCATGCTGATCAGGAAGTTGCCTTTCCCCTCTTCCCACCGTGCCTACAAGGGAGAGGCCAGCTGAGGCTGGGGAGATGGGCTGAAGCCAATATGTTAGTGGCCAGAGGATGATGTAAGGCTGTGTTGTCCATTCTGCTGGCACCAGCCACATGAAGATGTTCGCATTAACTAGAATTCAGTCCAGTTAGAAATGCAGTTGTCACACTAGCTCAGGGCTACTTACTGATTTGGACAGCACAGATAGAGGACACTTTGACCATCACAAAGACTTATGCTGGTCAGTGCTGCTCTGGGGTGCTTTCCTCGGCCTCAGACAGCCCCGCTGGGCTCTCGCAGCACAGAGAGGAAGGCAGCGGCTGTCCCGGAGGGTTCCCTCTAACAGGCCGTGCAGTGGTGGGAGCTCTGGAGGAAGCGGGGGTGGTGTAATGGGGAGGATGGTTCTCTGCCCCGTGAAGACTCACATAGTGAAGGGAATCCCCACCGGGACATCCTCAAACCTTTGGCGGAGATCTTGCCCTTCGTGCGTCTTGTGTCCACTTTCTCTCCCAATACCAAGGTGCATCTACTCAGGTTGGCTTCCAAACCATCCTTGTATGGACCGCTCGGGGCCACAGCACTTCTGACATCTTGCTCCTTCTCACCCTCCCCCACCCCATCTGTGCTGTTAAATCATCGCCTGGCTGTGGTTCTTGGCTTCCACCTGGCCCGTCTCTGCAGGGGGGCTGCGTGAGGGGCCGAGGGAGGCAGCGGGCTCTGAGGTCCTACTCGGTGCCCGGCGCTGTTCTGTGCTCTCATGTGACCCTCACAGTAACCCTGCAGCCGAACCTGGAAGGGTCAGACCACGTCCCCATGTTTTTGATGAGGAAATTGAGCCCGAGAAGCTTAAGTGGTTTGCCTGTACCCTCACATCCAGGAAGAGACAGAATTAAGTCAGACCCTACCCCCAAAGCTTGTGCACTTTGCATCATGTCCCCCAGAGCTCAAGCCTGAGGCTGACAGTGTGTGGGCTGTCGCTACCTCTGTCCAACATTGCTATTTTTCCTGGTGTATGTTTTAATCTTTGAGGACCATCTCCTCCTCCCATGGGGAAAGGGTGATGTTGTCATCTCATTGCCCCATCCCCTGACCCACCTGGACTCTTGGTCCTGGCAGAAGCCAGGAGGGTGGGTGGCAGCAGCCCAACTGAGGCTGTCGGCGGCATGAAACAGAATTCCAAGGTGCTGGGTGACCTGCAGGTTTTAATGAGGGACCTGGACCGGCCCAGATCTGGGGGAGGAAGCCTAGCAGCTATGGGCAGTGGAAGCTGATCTGACCTGGCCTGGCCTGTGGTGTCTCCAGGTGAATGGAGCTCCCATCTGGCCTCAGCCCCAGGCCCGGGACCAGCAGGGTGGTCAGCGGTTCCCTGGCTTGATGCTGCTGGTACATTCCATGGTTCCGGTTCCTAAGGGCCCTGGGCCGAAGCTGAAAGTAGTTAAGGGGCTTCCTGGGGCCCTCCCCCTTAGTAGGGAAAGAGGTATTCCAGATCTTCTAGCCTCCGCATGTCCTCCAACCCCATGGATATGGTTTTCCGCTGCGGTTTCTTGCGCTGCACGGTGATCTGGATAGGATTGTTCTCGGGGAAGCTGGTCAAGTCTGTATCAACGGTTGCAAACTGAAATAAACCAAAGTCCTCAGAACTCCTGACCCTGAGCTCACCTCTTCGACTCTGCCACCCCCTCGTTTGTCTGCTAAATGGAGTCTCCGACAGCCTTACCAACCTATTCATTGACACCAGGAACAGGAAGAGGCATGATTCAAACCTGTGCCTCCCCAGTTGTGTGCTGTCTTTACTGGGGCCTTTTCTGCCCACCCCCAGGCTGTTCCTTCTTTGTCCCGCTTTAGACTCTTCCCTCTCTTACCCTCAATGCCCTTGACTTCCTGACCCACTCACAATTATTGATACTAAGTTGAAGAATCCAGAAACCAATGGCTTTGGGAGACTTTCGTTAGAGATGAATGAAAAGATCAATTTGCATTCCCAGTGGGCCCCAAAGTGGCTGAACCCTGAACCCTCCCAGAGGAGAGTGGCCTGGAATTGAGGCTTATTTGCCCAGGGAGAAGGAGAGCCAGCAGGAGGACGAGTCGTGGGGATATAGGGGTGTTCCCAACCTCCAAAACCCCTGGTCCACACCCCTCGGGCTGCCTTCTCCCAGGGCTCACTTTGTAGGGCTTGCACCACTTCCCCACCCCAGCGGTGTTGGCTGCGCGGACAGTCAGGCAGTAACTCGTGTTAGTCTTCAGATTCATCAGCTTGACGGTGGTGCTCAAGATCTTATCGAAGATCCATGGGTGATTCTTTGCCTTGGGCATCTCACTATCATTTTTCCTGACCACCTCCTGCAACAGGACCTGGTAGAAACTGACCCGCTGCTTGCCTGGGGCGTAGGTCCAGGAAATCTAGGGGAAGAGAACCCCCGAGGCTTCCTCAGACCTGGCCTGGCCTGGCCTCCCCTCACCACCCCGCCATTCCTCACAACGTGGGTCAGAAGACCCCACTCCCATCCCTGCTCCTGCTGGAGCTGAGGTAGAGCTGATGGAAAGTGTTAGGCACTCCCAACACTAAATATGGCCCCACCAGCCCAAAGCATGAGCAACTCTCCCTGGGCAACCTCACCAACTTCAGAGTGTACCCTCACTCCATATTCTAGACTGTGTGTCAGTTGAAAGGGACCTTAGCCATCATCTCGTCCACCTCACTCATTGCAGATGGGGTTACAGGTTCAGAGAGAGCAAGTAGCTGGCCCGTGGTCACACAGCAGTTAAGTGGCAGAGCCAAGGTTCAAACCAATAGCTCCAGAGTCCATACACTTTGTACTACAACAGTGGTTGCCAAGCCAGGATCTCAGAGAGTTTTTATAACACTGCAGATTCCTGGCCCTGCTGTCACCTGTCTTGTCTCCCATTTCCAGTTTCTCCTCTAACTAGGCTAGTGGTTCTCAAACTCTGGTGTGCATCAGAATACCCCGGAGGACTTGTTCAAACAAAGACCGCTGGGGACTCCCCTGGTGGCACAGTGGTTAAGAATCCGCCTGCCAATGCAGGGGACACGGGTTCGATCCTTGATCTGGGAAGATCCCACATGCTGCAGAGCAACTAAGCCCGTGCGCCACAACTACTGAGCCTGCGCCCTAGAGCCCGTGAGCCACAACTACTGAAACTCATGCTCTGCAACAAGAGAAGCCACCACAATGAGAAGCCCGCGCACCACAATGAAGAGGAGCCCCCGCTCGCTGCAACTAGAGAATGCCTGCGCACAGCAACGAAGACCCAACGCAGCCAAAAATAAAATAAATAAATTTATAAAAAAAAAAAGAAACAAAAACACAGACCGCTGGCCCCTGCCCCCAGTTTCTGATTCAGGAGGCCCAAGTAGGGGGTAGGGAAAGCGAGAATTTAAATTTCTAATAAGTTGCCATATGATGCTGATGCTACTGGCAGTCTAGGGACCACACTGAGAAACACTGCTCTAGGCCATCCAACAATGGGACTTCCAGATTCAGCTTCCAAAATATAGCTCAAATTGCATCTATCACCTGATATAAAGCTTTGCAAAAAGCTAATCGTTACTGCTTACTGAAAAACCTATAACGTAGCGTAATGTTAAAGGACCTCTGGAAAGTGACCCCAGACTAACTCCTGCTATCTTCCCTCCTTGTATCTAGAACAGTGCTACTCGACATGTGGTCCATGGGCCATCAACACCACCTGGGAATGTTAGCAGTGCAGAGTCTCAGGCCCCACCCTAGACCTACTGAATCAGAACCTGTAGGGCTGAAGCCCAGGAATCTTATCGGTTTGATGATCAGATCCGCAGGCACAGGGAAGTATGAGAAGCCCTGGATTGGACCTAGGTGTTTCCTTCCATACTTTCCCACCTGTGAGCCTCTGCTAGTGTCAGCCCTCCACGGAATGCCTTTCCCCATCTCTAGATGTTTAAATCCAACCTCTGTGTCCCAGCTCAAATGTTACTAAATGCCACCAAAGCTTATTTCTGCACCTGGAAGTAATATTTCTTTCCCTCTGAATCCCTATTGGCACTTGATCTGAACTTTTCCTACAGCATTGAGCCCTCTCTAGCTTGTTGCTGGAGTTCTTGAGGTCGGGATGCAGGCATCTTCACACTCCCCAGTGAGCTCAGCTCAGTGCCTGGCACGTTGGGGGCAGCCATTAAGCCTTTACCAAATGCACAAGGAGGGGAAAACGCACCACAGCCATGGAATCGCTGACCGTGTGTTCATAGATGAAGGGCGCCTCCGGCACATCCAGGACCACAGAGGACTCTGAGGGCGTTGAGGAGGTGTCTGTGTCCACCTCAGTGTTGTCAAGGTCCAGCAGGCCACAAGGGGCTATTTGGGACTTAGACTGGGGGCAGAGGGCCAGGTCCCCCTTTTCTGTACTCTTGTCCATCGAGGAGAAGCTGAGTTTGTTCAGCTCGCCCTCCAGCATCCCTGCAAAGAAGCTGCTACTGGGCTGGGTCACGGCCAATTTGATGGGATTCAACAAAGTGGATGACATGGGGGAGATGCTGGTGTCATCGGAGCTGCATTCAGAATCCTCCATTGGCATCTGCTTCCTGGAGTGGGAGGGGAGACAGGTGAGACAGACGAAGGAGGCCACCCCGGCCCCTGCTGCCTGGAAGCTCCTGGCGGGCAGGCCTTGGGCACAACTTACCCAGCGCCCCCAGCTGCTTCTGAGCAGCTCAGAACATTCTTGCTCTGCAGCAGTGCATCAAACTTACGAGGACACTTACTAGTGAAAAATGCATATTCCTGGTCCTTGGTCCCCAGATGGAATGGGACTGGGGAAGCTGCTAAAGCATCTTTAATAAGATCCTCAGATGATTCTGATGCAAGGGTTCTGAGAACCACATTTTTAGAAACACTGCTGAAACTTTAAGTCCTTCCTCCAAAGTGGGGTGCAAACACCCCAGGGAATGACCATAATGATCTACCGGGATATGGAAAAATATCTAAAAGTATCTAAAAGAAAAATAATAAATTAAGTTTTATTAATATTTATTCACTATTGTTTATTATGTAATTACTAATTTATTTACTTAGGTTTTATAACATTTAACAATATGTATTAATATATAGCATGTAAAAATTAACAGTACAGATAAATATATATATATTGGGATGAATTCTCAAAAACTTTTTTCTTCCATTCTAAATTTTTTAAATTATGAAAGCTTTCAGACACACTCCAAGATATCAAGAGTAATATATTAATGGGGATGTAATGTACAAAATGGTGGCTATAATTAACAATATTGTATTGTATATTTGAACGTTGCTAAGAGATTAGATCTTAAGAGTTCTCATCACACACACACAAAATTTGTAACTGTGGTGATGGATGTTAACTACGCTTACTAAGGTAATGATTTAACAATATATACAATTATCAAATCATGTTGTACACCTTAAACTAATGCATTGTTAAAATTCAATTGTGTCTCAATAAAACTGGAAATGAACATACTATAATATATTAAGCTTCCATTTAGCCACCATCCAGCCCAGCTCAGAACTAAATCTTTTTTTTTTTTTGCGGTCCGCTGGCCTCTCACTGTTGTGGCCTCTCCCGTTGCGGAGCACAGGTTCCAGACACACAGGCTCAGCGGCCATGGCTCATGGGCCCAGCCACTCTGCGGCATGTGGGATCCTCCCGGACCGGGGCACGAACCTGTATCCCCAGCATCGGCAGGCAGACTCTCAACTGCTGCACCACCAGGGAAGCCCAGAACTAAATCTTTATCAGTGCAGTTAAAGGCCCCTGTATACTTCACTCCTCCACCTCTCTCCTCATCCTCCCACTCAGAGGTAGCTTGTGCAGTAAATTTAAAATTTTGTATATATTATTCCCCATGTGTTTTTATAGGTTTGTTACATTCATATGTTATTAGTTTCATATTTTTAAACTTTATATAAATAAATGTTATCATTCAGTACATACCCATTTGCAGCTTGCTGTTTTTTACTTAAAACATTGTATATTTTAGATTAATCTGCTCTGGTTCAATCATTTTAACCGCTGTATGTTTTCTATTACATGGATATTTGTATTCTAACCAATTCTTTGCTATTACAAAGAAAAACCTTGTACATATTTCCCTGCTCTTTAAAAGGTTTTGCTGTTGAAGTACAGAATCCAAAACATTTGGTTTTCAAATCTTTTTTTTCTCTTAAGCCAAAGTAAGAAATACATATTTCTTGGCAAGCTAGTATACTCATACATACACATGTAACTAAAATGTTTCACAAACCAATCCTTACTCTATGTGTGATGTGCTTTGAAATTTTCAATTCTATTTTATTTCATTTTTGTAATACTGGTCTCCACCAACCAGAATGAGTTCCTGATCCACTCATGGGTCACAACTCTCAGTCTGAAGAACCCTGTCTAGAGAGAGCGGTCACAAGGCCTTTGGGGACCAAGCACCTTGACCAAGGTCACACGATAAGTCCATGGCAGAGTTGGAACCAGAACCCAGATCTCCTGGGCCCCATGCTACACAGCTCCCATCTGCCCCGTGTGCTTTCTGGCTCCCCTCCACTGCTTCGTCCCCCTTCTCCCTGGGCTGCTCTAGCCAGATCCAGCAACCTACACACACCCTTACATCCCTTATGCCAGGACAGCCTCCAGCTTCATGGTTGGTTGATCAAGGCCAAATTTTTCCTCCTTGAGTTCCAGCCCCATCAACCTCCCCCTGAGAAATGCTGATCAGCCCAAACCTCCTATGTTAGCCCTTGGTGGATGCTTGGAATAGATGATTCCCCCACCAAGGCCCTTTATAGGCTGAAGAGTCTGGGTATGGATGTCAGTTTTACTATAGATTGTCTTAACGCATCTCTATTTTAGACTTACTGACTGGAAACACCAGTGCTGAAGGGGCGTGGAAGGCAGCCTTAGTGATCTTCACAGTAGCCCTGCTGGATGGTGTTGGCCCCATTTTACAAATGAGGGACCGAGGGTCCCTGATCTTATTTAACTTGTCTATGGCCCTATATCTAAATGGTAGAACTTGGATTTAAACTTGGGCTCCTAGCCCAAGACTTTCGCCCCATACCAGGAAGTTTCCTACAAGCATCCATCACTTTAGCCATACCTGCTTACTTACAGGTCCCTTAGGGAGTGGACACCTATCCTTTCATATAATCAGGACCCCTTCTTCAGAAATTATTAAGAATTTCAAGACAGTGACATCTGAGCATTAAACTAAGCACAGGGCACTTCTAAGTGTTGGGCTGTGTGTGACTGCCCAGGTCACACACCCATGAAACTTCCCGGCAGACAGTTCCCTCAGTCCACATCAACCCAAACCACCATCCCTCCACCGGCTAATTCCTTCCCTTCCTATGAGAGTCACCTCCTCCATGAAGCCTCCCTTAACTTTACCTCCTCCCAAGCTACACTAAGCCTCCTCTGGTTCCTCCAGTTGTCCCGTCATAGCACAGACCATGCTGTAATATTCTCAGTTCTTGCCTGATAGCCCCCCAACACACAAACACACGCACACACACACATACATGCACACACACACACACACACACACCCCAGGCTGGGAGCTCCTTGAAGGCAGAGACTGTGCTTTCTGGCTCTGCATTCTCAGAACTTAACCTTGGGCCAGATACCTTGTAAGTGCTCAAAGACTTTTGTGAAATGAAGTAAAAGAAACCCAGAATCACTGAGGAGGAACAGCAAACCTCAATCTGAAGGCAGGCAGGCTACTGGGGGCACATAACCAGGCAGGTGAAGGTACAATAGGGAGGATGAGGCAAAGGAGCCGCGGGGAGTGGAGGGGGCAGGGGGTCTGTGTGGGGGTGATGAGGACAAAGCAGGATGACAAGGACAAAGCAGGATGACAAGCACTGCCAGGAAATCTCTGACTAACCCTGGAAGGCCTCCCAGAGGCGGAGGACGGCATGCCTCCAAGAACCTGATCAGAGGTCAGGACTCCGTAGGCAACCTGCACACATGCTCTTCCCCGGGAGTCGTGACTGTGATAAGCCAAGAAAGTACTGCCTCTTCAAGCCCCTCTTCCCACCCCCACCCCCCAGGTCTGGTTTTAGAAAGGAGAAAAGGACCAGACTTGTGTCTTACGGTAGATGGATGGCACCTTCCTCCAAGAAGTTAACCAAACTGCCCCCTGAGGAAAATGGGAGTCCTTTGGTAGTGACGCTCCTGTTCATAGACTTGGGGTTTGGAAAGGGCTTGGACATTTGATTGAGTGCGTTCAAAACGTTGAGGGTTTCCTTCTTCAGCGTGGTCTCCTCCCCATCTCCCAGTTTGTAGAGTGTCTCTGATGCCATCTACCTTGTTTGGGACCACAGCCGTCACCATGCAGGACTACCAAGCTGACAGGAAACAGAGAGAAACTGGAGGCAGAGGACACACCCTTAGTTTGGGTGGGATGGGAGTGCAATGAACTGACTTCATAATCATCAGAGAGTGTAACAATTAGGGGCCAGCCTCCCCCTTGATCTGAGGCTGCTGCTGCCCAGGGCCAATGTCAGGAGTGGGTAGAGTCAAGGAAGAGACTACAACACCCCTTGGGCTAAGGCTCTGTGGTTACAGCAGCCCTGCCCTTCTCTGAAAATCTCGGAATGCTCACCACCGGTGCCCTTCGGACCTGCCCTAGGAAGGAGGAGATTGATGGTGATACAAAGGCACCTGGGCATGGAGGGAGGCAGGCAGTACTGGACTGGACCTCTGGGAGTGGGGAACTTTGTCTATAGAATACTGAGACTCTATATCCAGAAATCCTAGGCAGCAAACCCACTTCGTCCAGTTGTGTAGGCACAGGGAAAGCCCAGATGGTTCATGAGGTTCATAGCTCACATACACCCAGGTTTTACTGCTGGAATTCTAAATTCTGCCACACCCTCACCCCAAGCGTCATCATGTGTTGAGTGACAATGGTGGGTGCTGCGGAGGCATACAGAAATGGGCCAGACGTTGTGTTGTTTCTTTTTCTCAAGGAAACCATGTCACAGTAGGGGGACTTCCCTGGTGGTCCAGTGGCTAAGACTCTATGTTCCCAATGCAGGGGGCCCAGGTTCAGTCCCTGGTCAGGGAACTAGATCCCACATGCCTCAATGAAGATCCTGCGTGCAGCAACTAAGACCCGGTGCAGCCTAAATATAAAATAAATAAATAAATATTTTAAAAAAAACATGTCATAGTAGGAAAACATACTTCGGGGGATGGGGACGGGGGCGCTGTTAAAACAGCACTAGCTTTGACCTACATGTGGTTTTTTGTCTACTCGAAGTCCAGCTCTGCCCTTACAGGCTGTGAAACCTTTGGCAAATGACTTCACCTCTTTGCACCTCAGTTTCCTCATCTGTAAAATAAGAATAAACATAGCACCTACCTTACTGGATTGTGAAGAGATAACCCTGTAAAGTTGTTTTCTTTCTTCCAGAGGATGAGGTCAAGCAAAGGACATTTAAAAATACCAAATTGTGTGTGTGTGTGTGTGTGTGTGTGTGTGTGTGTGTGTGTTCTATATACACAGGGTTTTTGTTGTCTTTCATTTACAAATTCTTCTATTTGGAAAATAGAGAAGCAGATGCCCTCTCTGTGCTCTGCTGCTTTTTAGCACCCATCAAACGATCGGTAATTATGATTTATTTGATTTCCTCTTTCCTGTCTTCCCTCACTAACAAGTACGTCCCTGAGCATAGGGATGGTCCGTCCGAGCGAACGTTCTGGCCCAGTGTTCAGAACAGAAGGCTGCACCTAGGAGGTCTGCAAGGAGGCGAGATCGGGTAGAAGGCAGAGACGCATGCGGGCGCAGGGTGGCAGATCTGGGCGCGGTGGCCTCGGCGCAGGGGAGCCAGCTCCGTGCCACCCGCGCAGTCTCCGCCCCAACCGCCCGGCTCGCGCATCCGGCCCGTGGCCAGCAGGTGGCGCCGCAGGCCGGGCCCCGGAGCCTGGAAGCCGGAAGCTGTGGCGCGGTCCGGGAGGGAAGGTGCCGGCGTCCCCGCAGGCTCTGCACCCTCCGCGCCGCCTCCGCCTCCCGCCTCCCTCCCGCCTCCCGCGCTGGTCCAGAAAGGGCCCCACGGATGTCCCCGGGACGAGTGGCCCCGGGCCCCCAGGGAACATGGGCGTGCTCCGGGCCGGACTGTGCCCGGGTCTCACCCAGGACATGGCCCAGCTTCTGCGGAGCCGCGGGATCAAGACAGGTGATCGCAGGCGTGCGCCATTGCGGGCCACGCGGCCGGGCCCAGCGCGGAGGCCGGCCCCGGCCCTGGCACCCCCGGGAGTGGGGGGCCTCTCCCCCCCTCCTCCGCCCACAGCCTCCTTGAGAGCCCGGGAAGGTGGGAGCGAGCTAGCCACGCCCCAGGAAGGGTAGAACCCCCACTGTGTGCCAGGCACCACGCCAGGTCCTGCGGCTCAGCTAGTCGACGTAGGCGAGGAAAGGTCAAGTGAGCGAGGCCCCCGAGCCTCCCTTCCTGCCCACCAACCCCACGTGTTTTGTTTTCAGTGGTGGACCTGGTTTCAGCAGACCTGGAGGAAGTAGCCCAGAAATGTGGCTTGTCTTATAAGGTGAGCTGACAATCTCCGCTCCAAACCTGGATGTCTCTAAATGCCCATCCCTGAGCAGAGGGTTCCCAGAGATTGATAAGGGGGCCGTATGAGACCCTGGGGGCCTCCTCCGTTGGCGGGTCACTGCCCAGTACTCTGGGCTGCTTCGGGTCGGAGCGCCCCGGCCCTCTCCTGAGTTTCCCCGCCCCTTCCGCAGGCCCTGGTTGCCCTGAGGCGGGTGCTGCTGGCTCAGCTCTCAGCTTTCCCCTTCAATGGCGCTGATCTCTACGAGGAGCTGAAGACCTCCACTGCCATCCTGTCCACCGGCATTGCAAGGTTTGTGCGGCATTGCAAGGTTTGTGTGGGTATTTGGGGGAAAAGGTGAGAGGCGGGCTTTTGATATTTGTGTCTAGGGAGAGCAGGCTTTTTCAAACAGTGGTGAGGATGTTCAGGACTTTGAGTTCTCTTAAGCTATAACAGGGTCTCTCCAACTCCTAACTTTTGGGGATGCAGAATTATTTGGGGGGGGCTGTCCTGCACTTATAGTAGGATGTTTGGCAGCACCCCTGGCCTCTAGCCACTAGAAGCCGGGTAGCACCTCCCTTCCCATGTCTGACAATCAAAAATGTCTCCAGCTGTGACCAAATGACCCCCCACCCCACCCCAGGGTGGCAAAATTACCGCTGGTTGAGAACCACTGTCCTATAACACAAGATGTCAGTATTTCATTATTATTTAGCAGATCAGAGCAACTCTTCTCTGCCCCTACCCCCTCTTTCCCTTATGGATGGGGCAAGAGAGAGCATGGCAGGACTAACATTGACTGAGTGCCTACTACATACCAGCCACTGACACATAGTAGGTTATATAATAGGTTGTATAATCTCTTCAGTGACCCTGTGAGTTAGTGATTTTTTTTTTTCTTTTTTTAAAATTTATTTATTTTTGGCTGTGTTGGGCCTTCCTTGCTGGGCGTGGGCTTTCTCTAGTTGTGGAGAGTGGGCGCAACTCTTTGTTACGGTGCGCGGGCTTCTCATTGCGGTGGCTTCTCTTGTTGCAGAGCACAGGCTCTAGGCACGCGGGCTTCAGTAATTGTGGCACGTGGGCTCAGTAGTTGTGGCTCGTGGGCTGTAGAGTGCAGGCTCAGTAGTTGTGGCGCATGGGCTTAGTTGCTCCACGGCATGTGGGATCTTCCCGGACCAGGGCTCAAACCTGTGTCCCCTGCATTGGCAGGCGGAATCTTAACCACTGCGCCACCAGGGAAGCCCAAGTTAGTGATTATTAACCCCACTTGAGTTTAGCCCAAGAGGAGTAAGGGGCAGAGGTGGGGCTCCAGCCCTGGGGCACTTGATCCAGAACTTGGTTCATTCCCCGTGCTCTGCAGCAGGAGGGAATGAGAGTAGTTTATCTTCTGCCGTGTTGTGTGGAGAGAGAAAGAGTTGGAAGAAAACAGGCAGCTTCTGGACAAGGAAGTCTGACCTCATTCTTGGCCTGTTTGTGCAGAATTTGATAAAGAACTCTGAAACCACAAAGGTCTTTGGATTGGTTTGGCCCTCCCTGTTTCCATAACACATTCTCTTGGCAAGGTTCATAGAGCACAGTGCTTGTTTTCCCCGGGCTGGGGGTTCAGTTCTGTCATTCATCAAGAACTGGCCGAGTGCCTACGGGTTCCAGGTAAGTGCAGATGACACCGGTACGGGTGAGGCGAGGCACTTAACCCATTGGGTAGAGAAAGCAGGTAAACACAAGAGAGAGGTGTGAGCATGCGGGGAGGCAGCATAAGGAGGGGGTGATTGGAAATTCCCTGGCTCTCACTGCCAGGGGCCCGGGTTTGATCCCTGGTTGGGGAGCTAAGATCCCGCAAGCTGCATGGTGTGGCAAAAAAAAAAAGAAAAATGAGGGGGTGATTAACAAGGAGCAGCCTTGGCCTTTGGGAGCTTATAAAACCAGCATTATACAGAGGAAGCAGTCAGGTGATAAACTGGCAAGATGGCAGCCACGGTGAGTCACTGCAGGGGGGATCAGAGAGATTCAGGAAGGCTCTATGCAGGAGGCGGGCCTTGGGCAGTGAGGAACGGATGGGCCTTCTCTGAGTATTCCGGCACTGTTACTCCAGGTATGTCGTTTCATTTATCTTCACAATCACAATGAGCGCGTTGCAATGAAAATCATCATCCTGTAGATGAAGAAACTGGGACTCAGGTTAAGTGACTTGCTCAAGATCCCACAGCTAGGGAATTCCCTGGGGGTCCAGTGGTTAGGACTCTGCACTTCCACTGCAGGGGGCACAGGTTTGATCCCTGGTTAGGGAACCAAGATCCTGCAAGTTGTATGGCGAGGCCCCAAAAAAAAAGATACCTCAGCTAGTAAGTGGCAGACCAGACCCTTGACGTCACACCTGTCAGGCTCCTAAGCATAAGAACCCACCTCTAACGCATCTGCCCTATTGCCTCCTCCAGGCGGGAGGCTGTATTGTGAAAGTAGAGTTACAGGCATAGGGTGGAGGTGGGCAGGGTGGATGGGGCTGGGGAGCCTGGCAGGAGAGAGGCCCAGGAGGATATGGCAGGGGAGGGTGTGTGAGCCGATGTAGGGCAGGGTATGGCAGGAGGCACGCTGAAGAAATGTGATAAGCCTTCCTGCCAGGGGGAATATAGATGTGAAGAATCAAAGACGACCCAGTAGGTTTCTAGCCATCCTCACAGTGTTCTTTGGACACTTGATGGATGTAACTTTAACACGGGAGGGGAGGGGAGTTCTGTAGTCAACAACTCGGGAAATGCTGGTTAACCTAAATGAAGCAGGTTTCCCTGCTGTAGGCTTTCTCACAGCTTGTAATGCTGGCGGGCACCGTGGATCTTTACGAGGGCAAGAAAGCACGTAGCGTGCCTTGGAAGAAGCCATACTATCTGGGGAGATGGGTGGTTCCCTGAAGGCCAGAGCTGTGTCTTGTTCATCTCTGCCTCTTCCTCGTTTTAGAAAAAGGCCTTCAGGAAATGTGACACATACAGGCGATGTTTGAATGAATGGCTGAAAGAATGACTAAAAGCCAGTTCAGAGGGAAAGGTGGAGGATAAATCCCAGAAATCATTTGTGTTCAAAACATGTGGTAAGACCCAGTTGTACTTCTGCTCCACAAGGCAGGCGGAGGAAGAGGGGTGGTCTGTCCATGTTGATGAGCAGAGATGATTGGTAGGGAGGTGCATCAGGAGACATGGAATGGAAACAGGTGAGAAGTCTGCTGGGAGGTGGATCTGGGAATTCCTTATGGAGACTGATCCTCACAGCCAAGAATGAGGTTGATTCTTTTATTTATTTATTTATTTATTTGTGCCTGCATTGGGTCTTCGTTGCTGCGCATGGGCTTTCTCTAGTTGCGGCGAGCAGGGGCTACTCTTCATTGCAGTGTGCAGGCTTCTCATTGCGGTGGCTTCTCTTGTTGCAAAGCACAGGCTCTAGGCGTGCAGGCTTCAGTAGTTGTGGCACGTGGGCTCAGTAGTTGTGGCTCGCAGGCTCTAGAGCACAGGCTCAGTAGTTGTGGTACACAGGCTTGGTTGCTCCACGGCATGTGGGATCTTCCCGGACCAGGGCTCGAACCCGTGTCCGCTGCATTGGCAGGCGGATTCTCAACCACTGCACCACCAGGGAAGTCCCAGGGTTGATTCTTGACTGGAGAGTTAAGACCAGTGGTTTCACCCAGGCTGCATGTTAGAATCATTTGGGAAGCTTAAGAAATATTCATGCCTGGGTCTCACCTTTAGAAATTCTGACTTCATTGCTCTAGGCCAGTGGTTCCCAAACTTTTCTGCCCAGTAGAATTACCTGGGAATTTTTTTTTTTTAATTCCAAAGCCCTATTCTGCGCCCCCAAACACACACACCAATTGAATCACATTCTCCGGGGCTGGAACACAAGCATCAGTGTTTTTTGAAGTTCCCAGGTGACTCCAGTGTGCAGACAAGTTTGGGAATCACTGATACAGGTCTCTTTTTTTAAAACTCCCGTGGTTATTTTAACATGCAGGCAGGACTGGGAAACACTAGTCCAGCCTAATGGTGTTCAGATTTCAACATGTATCCTTGTTGAGACTCAGATGTGGTCCTCGCCCTAAGAGTTTCTGATTCAGTAGGTCTGGGGTGGGGCCTGAGAATTTGCATTTCTAATCAATTCCCAGGTGATGCTGATGCTGCAGGTCTGGGGACCACACTGGGAGAACCACTGCTATAATGGGACTGGGGGTTCTCTGATCTCAGCGGGAGGAACGGGATCCAGCAGTGGCAGAGGCTGGATGCTCTTTAACAAGGTGCTTATTACACAGAGACAAGGTGAGCACAGTTATCCCAAGAAGCCGCAGGGCCAGAGTGGTAACCAGAGCGTTTTGACCAGCAGGGCCCTGTGGTTATAATCATGGGGGCCTTGGAATTGAAAGAGATGGGGTGCTTAAGTGCTGCTTGGCGTATACAGAGGGGTCATGGGACGTCTTCAAGGACCATCACAAAGGGCTGGAGCCCATGGGTGATTACAGGGTTGGGACAGGGTTGCATGTGGCCAGGACATGGAGGTGTTAGTATAGGCTGTGATGAGAAGGAGGTGAAATTTCAGCCCATAGGTTGGGCAGGATGTGTCGTTTTTCCCTTGCTGCTTTCAATAATTTTTCTTTGTCTTTAATTTTTGCCAATTTGATTACGATATGTCTCAGCGTGTTTCTCCTTGGGTTTATCCTGTATGGGACTCGCTGCGCTTCCTGGACTTGGGTGGCTATTTCCTTTCCCATGTTAGGAAAGTTTTCGACTATAATCTCTTCAGATATTTTCTCGGGTCCTTTCTCTCTCTCTTCTCCTTCTGGGACCCCTATAATGCAAATGTTGTTGCGTTTAATGTTGTCCCAGAGGTCTCTTGGGCTGTCTTCATTTCTTTTCATTCTTTTTTCTTTATTCTGTTCCGCAGCAGTGAATTCCACCACTTTGTCTTCCAGGTCACTTATCCGTTCTTCTGCCTCAGTTATTCTGCTATTGATTCCTTCTAGTGTAGTTTTCATTTCAGTTATTGTATTGTTCATCTGTTTGTTTGTTCTTTAATTCTTCTAGGTCTTCGTTAAACATTTCTTGCGTCTTCTCGATCTTTGCCTCCATTCTTTTTCCGAGGTCCTGGATCATCTTCACTATCATTATTCTGAATTCTTTTTTCTGGAAGGTTGCCTATCTCCACTTCATATAGTTGTTTTTCTGGGGTTTTATCTTGTTCCTTCATCTGTTACATAGCCCTCTGCCTTTTCATCTTGTCTATCTTTCTGTGAATGTGGTTTTTGTTCCACAGGCTGCAGGATTGTAGTTCTTCTTGCTTCTGCTGTCTGCTCTCTCGGTTGGGCAGGATATGGGGTGTGGGTAGTGACCTGTTTCCTGGTGGTTTAGGGACAGAAACTGGATTAGGATTGGCCATGACTTGAATTTATCTCAAGGCTTCCACAGCCAGAGTGTTGATAACATAGGAACCTTCTATCACTCATTTCTCTGGAAACATTTATTGTGCATCTCCTGTGTTTCAGCCACTGTGCCAGTTCTGGGGTGAACAAGGCCCAGTCCTTGCCCCAGGGTGCTCTGGGCCAAAAACTTTTGCTCTGCAAGAGGATGAAAAGACAAGCGATAGAATGGGGAAAATAGGGCTTCCCTGATGGTGCAGTGGTTGAGAGTCCGCCTGCCGATGCAGGGTACACAGTTTTGTGCCCCAGTCCGGGAAGATCCCACATGCCGCGGAGCGGCTGGGCCTGTGAGCCGTGGCCGCTGAGCCTGCGCGTCCGGAGCCTGTGCTCCGCAATGGGAGAGGCCACAACAGTGAGAGGCCCACGTACCACACACACACAAAAAAAGGATGGTGATAACTCCAAATGCTAGTAGGGTGTGGAGAAACTGGATTACCTCATACATTGCTGGTGGGAAAGTAAAATAGCATAGGCACTCTGGAAAACAAGTTAGTAGTTTCTTGTGAAATTAATATGCACTTACCGTACAACCCAACAGTTGTATTCTGGGGCATCTATTCCAGAGAAATAAAAACTTAAGTTTACAGAAAAACCTGTATGCAAATGTTCATAGCCGTTTTATTCATAATTTCCTCCAACTGGAAACAGCTAAAATGTCCTTCAATAGGTGAATGGTTAAACAAACTTGGTCCATCCATACCATGGAATACTACTCTGCAGTAAAAAAGAACAAACTATCGATAGATGTGACAACTTGGATCTCGAGGGAATGATGCTGAGTGAGAAAAGCCAATCACAAAGGTTACATATTGTGTGATTCTGTGTACATAATATTCTTGAAATAACATAACAATAGAGATGGAGAACAGATTAATCGGTTGCCAGGGGCTAGGGATTACGGGTGGATGGAAGGGGAGTGGCTATAAAAGGGTGGCACAAGGGAGCCTTGCAGCAATGGAAATGTTCTGTATCTTGATTGTGGTGGTTACATAAACCCATGCATGTGATGAAATGGCATAGCCTTATACACACAGACACACACGGAAATAATGGTGGTGAATCTGAATAAACTCTGTGGATTGCACCAGTGTCAATTTGCGATGTTATAGTGTAGTACAATACATCTTATAGTGAAAGATGCTACCATTAGGGGAAACTAGGTAAAGGGTACATGGGACCTCCCTGTACATTGTTTTTTGCAACTTCCTGTGAATCTATAATTATTTCAAAGTTTTAGAAAATGACAAATTATGGGAAATGCTATCAAGGAAACCCAGAAGGGGCTGAGATGGAGAATGAGAGGACCATTGGATGGGGTGGCAAAGAGACCTTTGTGGAGAAGTGATCACCCAGAGTGATCTGTAAGCTGAGAGTGAAAGGATGAGGGGCCAGAGGAGGAACATTTAGCCGTGCCGGCTTTCCCCAAAGGAAACTCTACCAGGAGAAGCCTCCTGGCCAGAGATGTTAGAGTGTCTCTGGACAGAACAGTGCTTGGAAGGGATGTCTTGCTTTTTTTCCTGGTTCCTACTCCCCTCCCTTCCCTCGAATCCCCTCAGTTGATTCTCTTGCCTTCTCTTCTGCCATCAGCCTGGACAAACTGCTGGATGCTGGTCTCTATACTGGAGAAGTGACTGAAATCGTAGGAGGCCCAGGTAGCGGCAAAACCCAGGTACACGTGCGTCCAGCAGCCAGGACGGTTGGGGGAGGTGGGTGCATAGCCCTGGATCCCTGGGGAAGCTTCTGCCAGTGTGCTTGTGATTCAGAGATCGGAAGAGAGAAGATGGGTGGTGAGGAGTGAGGCTTGGACTGGGCCCATTCGTGTCTCTGGGATCTGGACAAGATTTGGTGGGAGCACCCATGCTGGGCCCTCTTTGAGGGCTCAAGTTCACCCAGTGCCCCATCTGTACTCAGGTATGTCTTCATGTGGCTGCAAACGTGGCCCATGGCCTGCAGCAGAACGTCCTATACATCGATTCCACTGGAGGGCTCACAGCTTCCCGCATTCTCCAGCTACTTCAGGCCAGAACCCCAGAGGAGGAGGAGCAGGTAAAGAGCAGGAGGGTTGGGTTCCTTTGAGGTTCCGACACCGTAAGTAAGACCCCGTTATCCAATGTGGCAAGAATTTTGGTCATTTTTGTGAATAGGTACTTCTGGCTTTGAAACTTGCTGTTCTACTAATACTTTCTGTTCTGCAAGCCTCCCCATTATGACATCATCCCACCCCTGCCATACCCTAATTCAGGGCTGCCATACACCCAGTATCTGTGTTTCTCTCCCATTTCTTGCCCACGGAAGACACACTAATCAGTCCTATCCCTCCGTCCCACGGAGCTCTGACTTGGCTTTGCAGCTCAGCACCCAGACAGCCACCTTGGTGAGAACTGGCCCATCAGACAAAGCCCATTTGCCATCCTGGACCTGAGTCCTTCTGTCTAAGTGCCTCTTCCTGCTCAGCTTCAAAATCCCTCTTCATCTTGCACGACCCCCTCTCCTCTTCTCCAAAGCTCTCCCTTCTATCTCCTACCTCTTCAGGCGGGAGCTCTCCAGAGGATCCAGGTGGTGCGTGCGTTTGACATCTTCCAGATGTTGGATGTGCTGCAGGACCTGCGAGGCGCTGTGTCCCAGCAGGTGAGCCTGCTCTTCCGCCCCTCCCTGCTCCTCCCAGCTGGCCAGTGCTGTCTGCATGTGGGCAGGTGTCCTACTACAGACTCTGCTTGGAAACGCAGATGTGCAATCTGGTGACTCTAGCTGTGTCTGCCGCTCCCAGGATGGGATTTCTGGATGCTTAATTCATTCCTGAGTGCCTCCTCGTTTACATGCCCATCTTCCCCAGTAAACCGTAAGCCCCTTCCTTGAGTGCAAGGATCATGTCATATTCATCTCTGCATTCCAACGCCGGATCCATTAAGATTACTTTCAGCGGCAAGTAGTAGAATCTATCTGACAGACACTTGAACCTTGAGGACTTTTAATTATCTCACATGAGTCTGGAGGTTGGCAAGTCCATAATGTCAGGGCTGTAGGTTGGTGTGCCTGGTTCTCTTGCACTTCCTCCCTCATGATTGCAAAGTGGCTGCTATGGCTCAAAGCATCATGTCTTCACACATCCATATTACATCCATATTCAGGTCAGTGAGAGATAGATGCCTCTTTTCTGTACCTCTTCCCTTTTATAAGGGAAGAGAAATCTTCCTCTGGAACCCCCCAGTATGCTTCCCTGTTCCCATTACATCTAATTGACCAAAACTGAGCTATGTGTTTTTCCTAGACCAGGGGTTGGGCCCACCTTCCCTGATGTCAGGAGATTTCTTCCCAGTACTTGAACACATTCAGAGTCCTGTTAACAAGGAAGAGGAGTTTGGAATGGCATTTGGGTTGGTACCCTGCTACACCTGATAGGTGCTTAGACAGGATTTGGTGCACTGATTTATACACTCTTAGATTTGGGAGACACCTTACAGAGGGTAGTTTAATTCATCTTAAACTTTATCTCTCACCCCAAAGCATAACATGTTCCCATGGGCATACCCAGGGTTGTATATAAAGTAAAGCATTTTTACAAACTTTAGAACATACAATAGTTGAACAAATGCTTGCCATAGGAATCGTAGCAGGCTATGACACCCCCATGTGTTGAGACATGAAGTCATGTAGTTCTGACCTAATCCAACCCTCTTGTTTCTAGAGATGAGGAGAGTGAGGGCCAGAGACATTCAGTCAGTTGCCCAAAGTCACCGCATATTTAGGATAAGAACAAAGCTTATAACCCAAATCTCTCAATTCCCAGGTCAAAAGACGATATTTTTTACTGTAGGGCTGTTAGCTCGTATATATTTCTATTATTGCATAGCAAGTTACTACAAACTTAGTGACTTAAAACAACACATATTTATTGCCTCACAGTTTCTGTAGGTCAGGAGTCTGGGCACAGCTTAGCCTGGTGCCCTACTTAGGGTCTCTCTAGGCCGTGATCAAGGTGGCAGCTGGGCTGTGTTCTTATCTGGAGGCTCAACTAAGGAAGAACCACTTACAAGTTCATTCAGGTTTTTGGCAGAATTCATTTCCTAGAAGCTTCAGTTCCTTGCTGGCAGCTGGTTGCTGGCAGAAGCCACCTTCAATTCTTTGAGGCTGCCCACTCTTCCTGACATGTGGCCCTTTGCATAGGCAGTTCACAGCATAGCCACTTGCTTTTTCAAGACAACACAAGAGTAAGAGCAAAACGCAACACACCATCTTACATAACATAATGTAATCACGGGGTGGCAGCCCATTCCCTTTGCCATATAATGTAGCCTAATCAAGAGAGTGACATCCAGGGAATTCCCTGGCGGTCCAGTGGTTAGGACTCTGCACTTTCACTTCCAAGGGCCTGGGTTCAATCCCTGGTCGGGGACTAAGATCCCACAAGCCACGCAGTGCGGCCAAAAAAGAGTGACATCCTAACACCTTTGACATTTGACTAGTAAGAAAGCAAGTCATGGGACTCCCCCAGGGTCAAGGGGAAGGGATCATAGAGGATTCAAACACCTAGAGGTGGGGATCGTGAGGTCTGTCTGCCACAGATACCTGATAACCCCATTGTTACAAGCGGCAAACGGCTTATTGTCCCATTTTGGCCAGAGATTTCAACCTGCTCTCCCAGAGAGTAAGGAAGGGCTAAGCTGATCTCTCTCTTTTCTGCCAGCATCCCTTAGACAGCCAGTGACTGGCCAAGAGTCAATAACTGGGATGTGAAGGGGGAGACATGCAAAAGACAGACAAGATAAGCTGAATATCCAGGACTTGGCCAACATGAGATGAAAAAAACCAGTTATGGAAACAGAATTGGCAAATGGGTTCGATATAAGGAATAAGGGAGAAGAGAAGGGAAGCTTCAAGGACAAGAAACATTTTAGGTCCAAGAAACTAGGAGGATGTTTCCTAGTTTCCTGGTTTTAGCAGGTGGCTGTCTATATAGTCTATATTTGGAAACTTTTTTTTTTTTTTGGCTGTGTTGGGTCTTTGTTGCTGCGCATGGGCTTTCTCTAGTTGTGGTGAGAGGGGGCTACTCTTCATTGAGGTGCACAGGCTTCTCATTGCGGTGGCTTCTCTTGTCATGGAGAACGGGCTCTAGGCACGTGGGCTTTAGTAGTTGTGGCACGTGGTCTCAGTAGCTGTGGCTCGCAGGCTCAGTAGTTGTGGCACACGGGCTTATTTGCTCTGCGGCATGTGGGATTTTTCCGGACCAGGGCTCAAACCCATGTCCCCTGCATCGGCAGGCAGATTCCTAACCCCTGCACCATGAAGGAAGCCCCTGGAACCTTTTTAGATATGGAAGATTAGGCCCTAGAGGCACAGTCTGGAAAGAGACTGAAGTAAAGAGAAGGCTGACCTCTTCAGCAAAGGAAGTTAGGAACTTGGGGCGTAAGCAGGAGAGGGAAAAGAGAGCCTGACAAGATGATGGGGGACTGGCCACAAGGAGAAAGATTCTACTAAGAAAATTCCTGACCAGGGGACCACAGGATCTGAGCAGGGATTTCTCAAATTTAATTATTTTAGGGTATCTGTGATGTCCTGTGATTTAAACTCTCTCTTTCCACCCAATTCTTCAGTAAAATCTGTTATACATACAAATGGGGGTGGGAAAAAAAAGACATTTCTGAAATTCCATCATACATGCCCAGCCGTATTTGGGGTGGGGGAGGTTATTTCTTACGAGTTTCTGGAAGAGGAGCAGGCTTGTCTGGTGGTGGTCGCCCCCTAGAGGCCACCTGGTTCATGGCGCCTGCTTCCCATCAACCCCACAGGTGAGCAGTTCTTCAGGGACTCTGAAGGTGGTGGTTGTGGACTCGGTCACTGCGGTGGTCGCCCCACTTCTGGGAGGTCAGCAGAGGGAAGGTGAGTGGTGTGGCAGAGCCCAGGGTTGGGGTCTTGATCTTGCCTCCCAGTTCTGGAGTCCTGTCTCCGGCCAGCCTGGTCCCCGATGCCCTGCTGCCCACCCTCTCTGCTTTTTCTTCCCCAGGCTTGGCCTTGATGATGCAGCTGGCCCGAGAGCTGAAGACTCTGGCCCGGGACCTCAGCGTGGCACTGTTGGTGAGGAAGTGGACTTGGCTAGCCATCCTTGCCTTACCTCTGGTCCCTGGGCTTCACCAAGTGGGGAGATGTTCTTTCTAGTTACAGTTCTTTATTTCCCTTAAAGACCAGCTTCTGAACCCCCAAAGTGGCCCTTTGGGAAAGGACCATAGCCCAACTTCCCTGGGTCATCTAGAGCACCAGACTGGGAGGGGATTGGACCTTAAATAGCCAAGGGATCAGGGACAGTCTTGTTTTTCTTTTTACTTTCTTTAAGTCAGGTTTATTGAGGTATAATTCATACAGAGTAACCTCCTCCTTGTTTGAAGTTTGATACAGTCATCTCCAGCCTTGTTACCCCACCGCAATCAAGATACAGAATATTTCTGTCACCCCAGAAAGATCCTCCGGCCCCAGACAACCACTGATCTGGTTTCTGTCCCAATAGTTTTGCCTTTTCCAGAGCTTAATAGAAAGGGATCTTTTGGCTTTTAAAGTAACTTTTTCTGCTTATGGAGTAGTTTTTTAAAAGTCTGCATGCTTCTTATAAAAGAGGGTAAAAAATAGTTAAATATGAGTCAAATTTGTAATCGATCTCCACATCCACAGAAACCATATTAATAGTTTTATATACCTCCGTAGAGTCTTTTTTCTCTGCATATATACATATACTTTTAACCAACTTTCCAACTAAACTGTAATCTTGTTAAAAAAAAAAAAACACACTCACCACCATTTCCCATGTCTTTTAATAGATTCTTTAAGAATGCCAGTTTTAGCAGCTATGTATTATTTTGTTTAATACCTATGTTACAGGGGTGAGGAAACCTTTCTTCTAAAGGACCAGGCAGTAAATACAGTTTGCCTTCCCTATCTGTGGGTTCTGCATCCGTGGATTCAACCACCTGTGGATTTGAGCTGTAGTTGGTTGAATCTGTGGATGCAGAACCCGCAGATACGAAGGGCCAACTATACTACACCATCTTATTTTATTTATTTATTTATTGGGCTGTGCTACGAGGCATGTGGGATCTTAGTTCCTTGACCAGGAATCGAACCTGTACCCCCTGTAGTGGAAGGGCAGAGTCTTAACCACTGGACCACCAAGAAGTCCCTTCTCTATTTTAACTAAAACTACAGTGAACCTGGAATGGAGAGAAATATCCTTGAAATGATCACTCCTCCTGAAGTAGCCACCTTGCTATGAGTTAGGCAGATTAAATTCAGTTGAAATTTTGAAATCTAAAAAAAAAAACAGAAAAAACACTACAGTGAACATCCTTATACCTAAATCTCTTTACATATCTCGTATTTCCTCAGACTCCTAAAAGTATAATCAGTGAGTCAGGGACAAACATATTTTTAAATGTCTAGATATGACATTGCCAAGTTGCCGGGAAGGTTATAGTTTTTGTGCATCTACCAGCAGCATAAGGGGCTTTGTTCTTCTATTCTTTTGTTCTTTTTTTTTTTTTTGGCTGTGTTGGGTCTTCGTTCCTGCGCGTGAGCTTTCTCTAGTTGCAGCAAGCAGGGGCTGCTCTTTTATGTGGTGTGTGGGCTTCTCTTGCTGTGGAGCATGGGCTTTAGGCACGTGGGCTTCAGTAGTTGCAGCACGCGGGCTCAGTAGTTGTGGCCTATGGGCCCTAGAGCGCAGGCCCAGTAGTTGTGGCGCTTGGGCTTAGTTGCTCCGCGGCATGTGGCATCTTCCCGGACCAGGGAGTGAACCCATGTCCCCCTGCATTGGCAGGCGGATTCCTAACTGCTGCGCCGCCAGGGAAGTCCCTTCTTCTGTTCTTATACTGGGTCCCAAGGCCTCCCTCTCCAGACTGTAGGATGTATGTGAGCACCTGCTGTGTGCCAGGCTCTGGCTTAGGCAGCAGGGATTCAATGATGAACAAGCCACACCTCTGCCCAGGGGTGGGGTGGGGAGCAGGGGTTAACCTCAGGAGGATGCACTGAGGTTGGCGCTGCTTACCTGAGACTAGCCTGGGCAGAGTAGAGCTGACCGGCCTTCCAAAACCCCTCCCACGTATACACACAGATGCACACCCTGACACAAAGGGGTGGGTGCACGTAGTCTCAGGATGCCTGATTGTTGCGTTGGGGTTGTAGTGGGCCTAAGCGGACAGCACTGCTTTTCCCAGACACATGCCCCGTTACCTTTTATTGGAATCAAGCCGGGGACGTTGTGGTTTAGTGGCAAGAGCTCTGCACAAGTCAGGAGTCCAGGGTTCTGATTCCAGACGGTTGATAAATTATGGAAGCTTGGGGAAGTTGTTTCCTTGTACTAGGCCTCAGCTTTCCCATCTATAAAATGAAGCCATAGGAGCAGATGTCCTCTGTACCAGCATTACAGATCTATAAGCCTTTGATTCTTTTTGCCGCAGGTGACCAATCACATGACCCGAGACAGGGACAGCGGGCAGCTCAAACCTGCCCTAGGACGCTCCTGGAGCTTTGTGCCCAGCACCCGGCTTCTCCTGGACACCAGCCAAGGTGCAGGAGCATCAGGCAGCTGGCGCATGGCATGTCTGACCAAATCTCCCCGTCTGGTGAGCCAGCCCCAGGGGAAAGCCAGGGATCTGGGCCCTTGAGGGTGGCTTCTGTGCCCACAGATAGTTTCTCATCGAGGAACTTCTGGATACTGAGACCCAGCAGCCAAAGAGGCTACCCACTTGGGCTGCTCAACTGAAAAACTCACCTTCCCCTCCTGTCTTGTTCCAGCCAACAGGTTTCCAGGAGATGGTGGACATTGGGACCTGGGGGACTCCAGTGCAGAGCCCAACATTACAGGGAGATCACATGTGACTTGCTGTTGATTGGGACAAACCCTCCCACCATGGGAAATGGTGGCTGCATAGAAGCTCTCAGCCTGGGCAGACATCTTAGTCCTTAGCTCCTCTCTCTGGAAACACAGTGTTACTGGCTAGAGAGGATGCTACTGTGGAAGGACCCAGAAATTCATGCCGGTACCAGGTTTTCCTCCCTTGTGTCTACCACGTATGTTTCCAGCAGGCGCCGAGTTCAGTGTCTTGGGCATCTCTGAAGAGGCATGCTGGTGCCTGGACAGATAACCCTGTGCATCGCCGTACTGCACTCCATCCTAACACAATGGCCGAGTCTGAGGCCTCTAGCTTGACTTTGCTTCCCTTCTTCTTCTTTTTGTTTCTTTGCCTCTGTTTTTCCATCTGTAAGATGGGGCTCCCTTTCTTTTAACTCTCTCTTTGAGTTACTGGGTGGAATTAACCTTGTAAGTGCAAAACTCTTCTTTATCTAGGTCCTGATATTAAAAACATACAGAGGAAATTCTCTGAGCCCCAGAGCCATCCATTTTCCCCCCAGAAGGTGGTTTTTCAGTTTCCCCTAGTGAGGCCCCAAAGAATGGTTATTCCTCTTTCCCTCTTGCCCATTTGGTTTCACAAACCTGCATGCATCACCATGACCAGGTGAGACCGGGAGCTCACTGCAGTCCCAGGAATATAATTTAACAGGAAGGGAAGATGTGACCTGGTCCCCGTGAATCCAGCCACTTGTTTAACGTGCGTGGTGCCCTGTGGGGCCCCTCCACAGTGTCGAGTAACCAGAGGTGCTGAACCATGGCCTTGCCCATAAACAGACAGAGGAGAATTTGCACAGCAAGTAGAGCCGGCTGGGAAAATTGATGCTGGCATAAATAATACATGGTAAATCTAGTCCTTTATGTAGAAATTCATTGCCAGTGGCTCCAACATGCAATATAATTACCGCTCTCTTCCTGCCAGCTGTACCACAGCCTAGTGCCCTAGTGTATGAAATAACCCCCCTGTCTGTTATGGGCACTGTGGCCATCCCTCTTCAAGCTATAACTCTGGCTGGGCGGGGAGGAGGACACCAGGGAAGAGGAAATAAAAGACAAAGGAGAGAAATGATCAGGATTGTTCACTGACCACAATTTTTTTTTTTTTTTTGCGGTACGTGGGCCTCTCACTGTTGTGGCCTCTCCCGTTGCAGAGCACAGGCTCTGGACGCACAGGCTCAGCGGCCATGGCTCACAGGCCTAGCCGCTCTGCGGCATGTGGGATCTTCCCAGACCAGGGCACAAACCCGTGTCCCCTGCATCGGCAGGCGGACTCTCAACCACTGCGCCACCAGGGAAGCCCCACTGACCACAATTTTTAAAGGAAGGTTGCCTTTCTCGGTTTGAGAGCCTGTCATGTAATTAGTTGCTTGGCTGCAGGAAGAGAGGTCAGAGTTACAGCCCGAAGACAAGACATTTAGAGGTGATGAACACAGCAGGGATAAAAGCAAGAAGCCTGGAGGACTGGGAACAAGTGGCAGACCAGCCCGAGGGTATCTGCCTGAGTAAGGACAGGCTCGGTAAGCTGCAGACTGGAGGAGGAACCCTGGCGCTGCTGCTTTCACAGGCTCCCAGGAGAAATGAATCTTCAGCATCCTTACACCAGGAGCGTTTGGCGCATAATTGCAACCGTAGTAGGAAACAAAACGTTAAGCTGGGACTGGCACATCCCTGTCACTTGTACCATTTGGGCATCCTGAGCCCACGCAGACATCACCAATCAATCAAGCATTCTTTTTGGCAGAGCTCAGAGTCCTTTGCAGTTTTAGTTTTTCTCCACACAGCACTCCAGGTATCCACAAGCAGTCAGTTGGAACTGGCGTTCAAGGTGGAGGCTGGTTACCATCTCTGCCCCAGGCAGATCTTCCATATGTCCCATATATGGTGTTGCGTGCTTGGTCCTTGACTCAGGACCCTACAATAGTGTGGTTTGAGAGGGCTGTAAAGATCATAGGCCCCATCTTGTCATTTAACAGAGAAGGAAACTGAGGCCCAAAGAGGAGAAATGACAGTCCCAGTGGCAGAACAGGGGCTGGAACCCAGGACTCTCGATTCCTCAGCCAGGACTCTGTGTCCATGTTGCCTTTAGTTTCCAATTGGCACAGTTCTGTCCTCAGTGGGGACTTCTTCCAGCCACAGAGCCTCACCGAGGTAGCCTCTCTGGCCACAGGAAGGCGCTCCATTCATTGCTGCTGCAGACCACCCCGTGACATTTCTGCAGGACTTTGCCCTTCACAGCTCGCTTCCTCCTTGGCCTTGCTCTCAGACCGGGGCTTCACCTCATCCTCACGCTGAGCCCACACACTCCGCTCCAGGCCAGCCACCCTGGGGCCAGGCTGGCCCTCCTGCCCATGTGCCTTTTGTTCCCTTTGCTTACGTGTCTGCCTCCGCCCAGCCCTGACTGCTGTCGGTGCACACCCACCCAGACATCCTCCCTTTTTTATGCCTCAGCTGGGGTCTAGATAGACATCACAATCCTCCCGTACCACTCAGACTTGTCTTATTGTCTGCCCATGAGCCCAAGATCCCCTTGAAGGGCTCCCACGTTAATTTTTCTTTTGCTCTTTCCACAGTATGGGAGCTCGGTAATTGTTAGATATACAAATGGGTGGGGTTTAAAGCATTTTAAAGATGGCAGAGGAGAAACGCAGGAATGTTTTTCATATGATCTAGTCATTGAGGTCCCCCCAGAGTGTCTTTTTACATATCCTTCTACAGAGGACTGTTGTATGTCGTTGGTCTGATATTACACAACGTTAATGTTGAGTCCCTACTATGTATGTGCTAGCACTTCATGGCTTTTGTTAGGCACGTGAACTCCCAAAGACTCTCAGGCTCAAGGTCCATGTATCACTGTGGCTGCTGTCCACTGCAAGTAATGAAACCTGGCTGAAAGAGGCTTAAACAATAACATTTGTTATCTCTAGTAACACGACGTCCAAGGTTGGCTCATTTGGCAGCTCATCAAGTGGCGTAGGACCTTTCCATCTTTCTGCTCTGCTCTCCTTTTGTGTTGGTTTTGTCTTTAAGCTCATTCTCATCAAAGCAGTCATTCTGGGCTTCCCTGGTGACACAGTGGTTAAGAATCTGCCTGCCAATGCAGGGGACACGGGTTCGAGCCCTGATCCGGGAAGATCCCACATGCCGCTGAGCAACAAAGCCTGTGCGCCACAACAACTGAACCTGTGCTCTAGGGCCCACGAGCCACAACTACTGAGCCTGTGTGCCTAGAGCCCGTGCTCCGTGACAAGAGAAGCCACCGCAATGAGAAGCCTGCTCACTGCAACGAAGAGTAGCCCCTGCTTGCTGCAACTAGAGAAAGCCTGCGCACAGCAATGAAGACCCAACGCAGCCAAAAATAAAAATGAATAAATTTATTAAAAAAAAAAAGAAAATGGGGATGCTACTAGAAAGGAGGGAGCGTGCGTGGAGGAGTTGGACGTTGGATGGGCAACCACTAGTATCTGCCAAAGTCCAGGAGGCAAGTGTATCAAGGCTCACATGTGCTTAGGCCCTTTATCCCCATCTCGTTTAGACCTTCAGAAAGCCTTCCATCTTCTAGACAGTAAATGGGAGTTCAGTGAGGTTATGGACATAAAGCTAATAAGTGAGCAGCACCAGAATCCAAACTTGAATCTGTCTGACTCCAAACCCTACTTCTTTCCATCCTTATGCTGCCTTTGGCTGTGACTATGTGAATGTTTCAATTAAATTTTTCTTTGTATTTTGCCCCGATAGCAACCAAGGCTACCCATCCCAACCTCTTTTTATCTTTGTTCACCATAAAAGCTGGATCAGAGATCTACTTTCTCAGCTCTTTCCGATTTCCCATAGGGAAGTTAGGAGAGAATGACAAACACTCAAAGAAAGGAGATATTGTTGATAATAAGGTGAACCGGAGGTTTGGGGGAAAATAAAGCTGAATGAAAAACAACAGGGTCTGTGTGTGCCTGAGATGGGAGCCAGCAGGAGGTAAGTGATTTATTTTATTTTATTTTTTGGCACGGCATGCAGCATCTTAGTTCCCCGACCGGGGATCAAACCCGCGTCCCCCTGCAGTTGAAGCGCGGAGTCTTAACCACTGGACCGGGGCAGGGGGGTGGGGGGACGTCCCAGGAGGTAAGGGATTTAGATGCACATCCCAACTAGGTTTTACTGTGCTCTGGCATGGAGTTGCACTGGGGAGAGTTAAAACTGTCCAGTTGCTGGGGATGGGCATTGGAGAAGGCTCTGTGATGCTTGGAGTTTAAATTAGAGCTAGGTAGATTATTCATCCAAGCTTACCCTCAAAAAGATGTTTCTCTCATGTTTTCCTGTCTTATTTCACTGGCTAGACTAACTTCCGGTGCTAAGTTGAATAGAAGCAACAATAGCCATCCTCCTTGTCTTGTTCCTGATTTTAGTGAGCTGTTTCCAGTATATATATATATATATATATATATTTTGCGGTACGCGGGCCTCTCACTGCTGCGGCCTCTCCCGTTGCGGAGCACAGGCTCCGGGCGCGCAGGCTCAGAGGCCATGGTTCACGGGCCCAGCTGCTCCGCGGCATGTGGGATCTTCCCGGACCGGGACACGAACCCGTGCCCCCTGTATCAGCAGGCGGACTCTCAACCACTGTGCCACCAGGGAAGCCCTGTTTCCAGTATTTTATCATTAAGTAGGATGTAGGTTCCCTGTAGTTACCTTTTATGAAGGTAAGGACCTCAGTGTGTTTCCTATCTATCCTGGAGAGGGAGGCCAGGTACTGGCCATTCCATTTGACGTGTAGAATTCTCTCTCCCAGCCAGTGGAAGGTCCATGCATCCCAGAGCTGTACAAGTGCACTTCAGCTGCTGCACAAGCTTGAATCCATGAGTAGGCTTTGAATCCTAGCTCTTTGCTGCATCTTTAGTTTCTGGCTTTAATAGTCTCAATATAAGCCTGGGTTTTTCCAGAAGACAATGGGCGTATGCTGAAAAGTGTACAAAGTCAAGGAGCAAGATTTTCATCTCATCTAACTTGGTCTTAGCTCTGACACTTACTGTATGTCATTGGATGAATTAGCTTCTTTAAGCCTCAGTTTCAGCACTGGGAAATGGGGAAAATAATACCTATTGCATAGAATTGCTTTAGGGTCATATAGCTTATGTAAAACACCAAATACTTACCCAGCCATGTATTGAAACACCCTACCACTGATTTCTTAGGGAATAATTCCCTCGGAGAATAACCTCTGATAGAAAAATTGGGGTTAGCATCCTGTGTCCGTTTATCACTTCCTGTTCCATTCTGGGTTAACCTATACAACCTCTCTCAGAAAGGAATACTTTATATTTTGCAAAATTTATTAGGTCCGGAGAATTTAAGAGCTGGTGAAGTAGAATGATGATTTGGGATTTTGGAATCGGGAAAATCTAGGTTCAAAACCCTACTGGGTCTTTTCTGGCTGAATTACTTGGACAAGGTAATGTCTTTGTCTTGTTGGTAAAATGTATGTTGCAGGGGAATTACCTTTTCCTTATTGGTAAAATATATGCCTCAGGGGAATTAAACAGATAATTTATGTAAAGTGCCTTTCACAGAGTCTGACACATAGTAGGTACTCAGTCACCATTAATTTTTCATGCTCTTGCCAAAAGTAACAAAAATCAGGGCTCTAGGACTTACAAGCCACGCTGCTACTAATAAAAGAAATATGATTTGTTTTTTCACAGCTGTTTGGGGAAAGGCATGTGCTTCATAAATATGTATTGGAAAGTACTTAGCAAATGAGTAGAAATAATAAAAATACATCAACGTAAACAGCTCCTATAAATATGTCACTTGGTAGACAAACTAGTGTTTTATTAGTACTAAATACTATTGCTTGCGGAAAAGGATTTCAGATTACTTGCACAATGGGTACGTTATTGAGTGCCTCTGTGGAAGGGCACGATAAAGATGAAAAATAGTGATGGTGATAATACTAAAGGTGGAGAAAGGAGTGTGGGTAAATGCAGCTCTGAGCCCTCCTCGCTTCAGCGACATGCACATTATTTAGCAGCGTTCCAATGATTTAGCTGTAATATATACCAGAGGGCCCAGAAAAAATCCACAAGGATATCATGAATTCTGACACCAATTATTAGGCCAATCAGTGGCTTAAGTGCACTCCCTTT